AAACATGTTAAGTGAACTTCCCAAACACTGTCTGTACTTCACAGGACCGTCTATAAATAAATAGAAAAAATATAGAAAGAATAAAAAAAATAAAGCTTACTGCTTTCCAGTCAGTAAGATCATGAAAAATAAAGTGCAAAAAACATAAAGAGAATAAACATTTGCTTTTACCAACTCTTTATTTTTTAGGAAAATCTAACTCAAGTCATTAGATGACATCATCAGCTAATATACACGTCTGGCTGTTTGCCAGTAATTGTGGTCTGATCTATAGGAGAGATGTTTAAGAGGAAAAAGTTAAGAAAAACACTAAATATGTTTGGAACTGCAATTAAACTTATTGAAATAAAAATAACTTTATGACTTCAATGATTAGATCCATATTACATAATTTAAATTAGTGATAATCTTAAATTTAACCTGCATACTGTTAGATTTCACGACACACAGGGAGGACGAGGTAAAGAAGTGACTGATCTGTTAGTCAAATGTAGCCGAGTCCAGGGATTTATTTTAGAGAGATAGTACCAGAGAAAAAAAACACAGTAAATATTACATCCCACTTTGGAAACCAGGCAGGAGCAGTGGCAGACTGCTGCGGGGGTGCTGCTGCACGAGGCTTCAGTGCACCGCTCGCTGCTCGGGGAGGAAAGATGGAGAAAAGTGCTTGGAAAGTGCTGTCACCAAAGCTTCTAAAAGTCTCCAAAAATATCTGGAAAAGTCGTTCGATTTGTCRCTTGTCGCTTTTTGGAAAAAAAGTTGCTAGAGGGGTCTAAATGTTAATGTTGTAACTGGGAAAGAGAGTAACACAATTTCAGTTCTCTGTATGTTTTGCACATATGAAGCATTGACAATACTTGAATCTTGAATCTAAAAAGCTGCTAGATCTAGCAACAATGTCACTAAGTTGGCAACACTGCTCTGCTTGGCTCACTCCCAAGTCAAGTGACCAGTCAAATCGCAGCCTGTGTGGTTAGAAAATCTTGTTTTAACATATTGCGAAATTATCACAAATGAAATCATTCAGCCCTATTCAGGACTAAGGTGTGAAATGAGATTAGGAAATGTTTTGGGTCAGGTATGTACTTGGTTGGGGTTAGGGTAAAGGGGTCATGRTTAGGCTGTAGAAATGACCAGTAAATGAATGGAAGTCACTGTAAAGTCCCCATGAGGATACAAGAACAAACATGTGTGTGTAGTCTTACATCCATGTCATTGCAAAGACGGGACCAGGATCCATACTGCAGGCGACACTGATGCATGGCACTGTACAGAACTCCAGGAAGCACCGACGTCAAAGACACCTTGTCCTTCACTGGAGAATCATCGAGGCACCAGCCCAAGCCTTGACTGCAGGGAAAAAAGGAAAATGTTACATTTTATAACAAGTTCAYACAGGCCTCTTGCCCTACTCCACCAAACTTGTTTAAATTTGATTATCTTCACCTGAATTTGTGTGCATTCATTAGATTGAAATATAATTACACTGATTTGAATGGTAATGAAATGGAATGGATCAGAGGTTATACACGGTATATATTTGCATTTAAATTGGACTTGTTTGCCTTCYTTATAAAGTGTCCCAAAATGACTTTTGTTGCCAGTCTGTACTGCATAAAGAAATGGAATTTAGGAAAGTTTCACTTCAACAACCTTCACAAATGTGAACATTGTTTTTACAAGTATATCTACATTTAGATACAATGATGATGCATTCAAAGGAYCAGTATGGTGCGAGTTCCTGCTGGTTTTATATTCTTTCAAGTTACCAAAGTAAAGGAGCATGAAACACAGCAACGTGCCTTAAACAGCAGGGATGAACAAACTCCTGATAACTACACATTCTGTGTAAAGGATGCAGATTAAGCTTTTAATATCAATTTGTTTTAACAAGGAAGGCAATGCCACTAGCATTACTGGTAGGGACAAAAAGATCATTCACAACATCCTTGGTAAGGGGCATTTAATGTAAACAAAAACTCAAAGGTAYCTGCAGGACAAATTAAGTAAAGATAAAGATAAGTCACTTTACATGAAATAAAAGAGACCATGTCATTTCATCACTGGATGTCAAACCATCAAAAATAATGAAGATTTCAAGACTCCAGTTGAATAAATGACAGATCTAAAATGATGCTYGGAATTTCTAACATAAATATGACAGGATTTGTGAACAACTGATTTYATTTTTTAATCAATGTATAAAAAAAGTTTAAAACTTCACATTTTGATTTAGGTTATAACTGACAATTGTTTTAAAGTGCTCACAGCWAAAAGTCATCCACACATCCTGACACTCCCCAGACATCCTATACGCACAGAGAAAAAGTCCTCCAATTCCTCCAACTATCTAATTAATCAAAGACAGGCTGTGTTTAACGGGTTTGTTTGTAGGACCAACTCTCATTATCTTCACTCCCTGCATCCTTAATCAGGTGATCATTATGCAAAGAAACAAAGTCCGAGTGTTTTCGATTATGTCAACCCCAGACTTAACACTTTTTAATCACAATGGGCTCCTCTAGGAAAATTAATTGCAACTATCAGAAAGGTGTATTAACACACTTATCAGCTCTGGAGTCCAGCATTTTAATAACAATAAAGGAGGATTTAAATTCCTTTCAATACAATACAAAGTTGTGTAAATAAATCACAATATATCACGACTGACACTTGATCAATATTTTAAACAATCACAACATATATCATGACAGACGTCATCAATATCAGTAGGAAATGCATCCAATAGAATGATCATAATTACACTAAACTTCGATCTAGAACCGCACGGCATTCAGGGGGATACAGGCAGAGGAAAGGCTTTAGCCACTTGACCTCTCATGACTCAGCTAAGCAACTTTGATGGCATCGACTAACTCACTCCTTGATAAGCTAGCAACAAACTGTAGCTATGGCCCAGCCCTAGTCTGAACTAATAATAAATACAGTTGTACACAATTATTGGGGGAGTCCGTTTCCTCGCCTCAAACTCTCATACAGCACTTCTAAGAATTGTTTTCCTTTCAAAGGCAAATAAATGTTTTAGTGACTGCTAACTAAGAATCAAAAACAATAATATAATTTTATGTGACTTCATCTATTTGTTGTGTAATTAAGTTAATGACTCCCAACAGAAGACACAAGTGGAGTAGAAAACTTTTACAAATAACAAAGGATGCAGAACATTTTTTACAAATGTCTTGTTTTTTAAAGCCTGACACAACAAAATGGTGTACTTTCAATTTTTCCAGAAAAATGCTGTCAACTTGCTTCAAAAAGAGCTCTACCAGTGGCACATCTCATGATAGTGCAATAAACATGGCAGTGCAAATCAAAGTGGGGTTTGCTTTGAGTTTGATGATTTCAGTGTTCAGTCATGTCAGCAATCATGTGTGCCTCTGCTGACTGCACTGATCCTCTATACTAAAATCAACAGCATCATACTAAGGAAGAGAAACAAATTGAATTAATAGTTATTGCCTCCTGCCAAAGATCAAAGAGTAATWTTGTTTTTGCCTGTGTGTCTACAGCATTTGCAAAAATATCTCATTAAYAGCAGGACAAAATTTCATCAAACACAAGATTTACATCTTGAACTGATTGCCTGTTTGAAGTCAACTCTATTCAAGATGGTGCCCACAGATAAGTGACCTCAGAAAACACAAATGGCAAAAATTTTTACTTTCCAAAAATTTTTTGCATCAGCTCTGTGTGTCCTTTTGCAAAAATATTCCAAGTGCATCTTGTAACATTTTTATGGTGCTTACAGAAAGTAGACATATGCACATCTAAAATCGATCCACTTTTTGGAGCCAACCTCAGTCACATCTGGGTAGAACTTAGTCAGTTTTACAGATGTGAAGCTAAAACTTGGTCTGGTAGTAGCTGAGCGTCATTTACAACACATACTTAAACAAATTAATGTCTTTTGCAGAAAACAGGTCACATGATATCATGAATATGTTCCTTCTYATGATTAAAACCTGGCATGAAAGGCAACAAACAATACGTGTTCCAGCAAAGCCTTACAAAGGCCGTTTGAAAGAAAAACTGTTTTGGTTTGTCATAGTGACATTTCTAAAGTTGGTTGAGAGGACAGGTCAGTGTAAGGTTAGGATTCTGGAAAAACAAGAAAAAAAAACATTTTCAGCCAGGTTAACAGGGTGTTCTGTTTCAACCATTTTGATGAATTCTGATTCMCATATTTATGTAATGAATTAAATGAGTTAAATGAGTCAATACCAAAGAAAGTACATATTTAAAAAATAATTTTTATATGAAGTCCCTTAGGAGACATGATGCAAGACCTTGTATTTTCAATCTCTAAAACCAAAATCCCTGCTCACATTTGACTGACAGAAACACAGCGCCAACATGATGTGCCTGTCATTTAAAACAACTGCAGGAATYATTAAAACTCCTACAAGGGAGTAATTAATATCAAAGAGCTGCTTTTTATATGACTAAAATACATAACTAGTTGATAAAATCTTTGAGGGGCATTTACAGTTATTTTCAACAAAGAACAAGGTTTATAATGTGTAGATGAGATTTTTACAGTTTTTATGGCAGTCATAAATTTACTACACAGATAAATCTCTGTGATAAATGAGATTATGACGAGCCTGTGCTGAATAAATTTGACTTAAGTGGACTAAGCATTAATCACATTAATGAGCTTGTATGGTTAATCTGATATAAATTACTATGAATCTACATTTTTTAAAATCGTCCACAGTTATGGATTTTCTGTGTAATTTTTTTTCTATTTTATTTCACTTTGTTTTCAGTGACATTCTCATTTATTTTCTTTCCAGTCCATGTACTGAACCATGACAACAGTGTTTTTCCCCAAGAACAAATTGCACAAACAAAATAAAATTCTCACCCAGCAGTATGGACAAGTGAAAAACTAAAGAAAATGGTCAGGTCAGAACATGCATCTACAGCAGATGAACAGTATCTTCAAGTCACGTTTTTCAAAAATTGGAAAAGAAATTGAGGTAAGACTTGACAGAACCTGAGTGCTGCATCATCTTTTCGCTGATCATCAATGTCAGCGACTTACATCTACACCCCCACCCCCCAGCCCCCACCCATCCACACACACATCCTCCAAGGTGATGTCAGAAAACAAGATTAGCGTGAGACTTCAATGGCACTGAGGCTGTCAAAATGTTTTGCACAAGTACAAAATAATAGCACGTCTGGGTGGATGCTTATTGCATTGAGCAGTGATTGCACGTCACAGAGCTGATTTTTACAAATGTTTGTGTGTTGATAGAGCTACAAGAATTCCAAATAAATAAAAGCTAAATGTGTATTTATCTGATGTATATTAAATCATCTTTCCCTGTAAACAAACTAATGTAGCATCTTGAGTCAAACTTCAACTTTTGCCCCTACAAAATGTAGTAGAGAGTTACAAAACGATTGTCAAGGAGTCAGATTTAAAGTGAAAAACAGCCAAGTTTATTTTAAATTATTAGTGAACCGATTTATGTGACAAATAGCCTCCATTAGTCTCTTATGGTTGAGGGAGGAAAATTGGTTTTCACGTTTCAAATAATTTTCCCAAATTCTGTTTTATATCACAGTACCACTAAACAAGGGGTGAAAACATGATTTATTTCAATGTATTCATTTAAATTAGGTCTAAAGTTATATAAGAAAAAGGCAATTGTTTGTGAAGCAAAATATTGTTGCCATTTCTGTTTGGATTCTACTTGCGGTATACCTCAGGGGTCAGTATTAGTCAGTGTTAAAATAAAACCCGAGAGAAAAGTTTAGAGATTATTAGAAAGCAAAAGAGGCTACAGTGAATATGCAGTAATCAAAGCTAAAAATGGTCCATCCATCCGTCCATTTTCAGCCGCTTATTCGGGATCGGGTCGCGGGGGGCAGCAGCCTAAGCAGAGAGACCCAGACTTCCCTCTCCCCAGCCACTTGGTCCAGCTCATCCGGAGGAATCCCAAGGTGTTCCCAGGCCAGCTGAGAAACATAGTCCCTCCAGTGTGTCCCGGGTCTTCCTTTGGGCCTCCTCCCAGTGGGACATGCCCGGAACACCTCACCAGGGAGGCGTCCAGGAGGCATCCTAACCAGATGCCCGAGTCACCTCAACTGGCTCCTCTCGACATGGAGGAGCAGCGCCTCTACTCTGAGTCCCTCCTGGATGACAGAGCTTCTCCCCCTATCTCTAAGGGAGAGCCCAGGCACCCTGCAGAGGAAACTCATTTCGGCAACTTTTRTCCGTAATTTCGTTCTTTCGGTCACTACCCAAAGTTTGTGAGCATAGATGAGGGTAGGAACGTTGACCGAGTGGTAAATCGAGAGCTGAGCCAGCTTCACCA